AGGGTGAAACGCTTTTTCCCCCAAGAGCCCCGTCGAAGTCTCCCTCTGTGACCACGCGGGCAATTTTTCTCAGTTCTGGGGGCAGGAGACCCTGGGCCTTTGGTTCCTGTGGGTGCCCTGAGCCCAGCGCGCTGCCCTTGGAAGCCCCCGCTGCTGGTGGCTCCGGCAGCGCCCCCGGCCGGCAGAGCGGGCTGCAGGCCCGTGTCCCCCACTGGCCGCCGCCGGGAACCTGGGGCGCTTCCGCACTGGACGTGCCGTGCCGTGACCCCGCTGGCAGTCAGGAATAACGAAGTGTGACCTTATTCATCCCAGTTGGTTCGCTGTTTTCTTTCACCCCGCTCCGGCATTTTTTTAATTATTATTTTCGCTTTTTAAAATTTTTTTTCTTTCTTTTCCCATCGCTGATGTTTTTACGAATTCTGATTGAGACGACAAAAATTGTGGCTCCTCAGTTCTGAAGTTCATAATCTTATTCTTTTATTATGTTATACAAATCTAGGAAAACGGTGATGTGTAGGTGATCAAGTGATTTCGGACTAAGGCACGTTTATATATTTTGTTCAGTTGGTCTGTTTGTTTTGGTTTTTTTTTTGTGTGTTTTTTTTTTTCTTTCATTGAAGAAGAAATATAAGAATTTGTAAATATACACTCTTCTTCTCACTGTTATAATTTGGGATTATTCACTGTGGTTTTAAATATGTCATCTTTTAAGTAGAGAATAGCCAAGGTTGTCTGTTGTGGTTGTCAATTCAGTCTAAAGTACTGCAAAGTTAGTCATGGGGTAGATAACATGATAGAAACTTATCTGAAAGGGTTTATGGCAGGGAAAGGACCAGTGGATGAATGCAGGAAGGAAAATACTTACGCTTAGTAGGTTCTAATGCTTTGTATAACGAAGCGCCAATGTTCTTATAGGTAAGTTTTGTCCATGTTCATTATGGCAGTGAAAAGTTACCAGAAGTCAGCTTTGAAGTTGTCTAGGCTTTTCAGCCTCAGGAAAATGGGAGGGTGTTTATTCTGCCTGCTTTCATTCTTAGTTTATTGTGTTGTGACTACATAAATTCCAAAGGCTTAGTAACAACACTTAAGAAGTTTGGGCTACTTTTATGAGTTGTAATAATAACTATCTTCAACTTTGAAAAGTTTGGAATGATTTGATAATTTATCTTGATGTAGGTGTCTTTGATACTTTAACTAGAAGCACTTAAATAACAGAACATAGTTACAATGGCACCAAGATATTGCTATTTTCAGTATAAACATTACTTGACAACTAGTACAGGAGATTTATTGTAATTAGCAAAAAGGAAGCTTTCTCAGTTTATGCATTTGTTCTGTCAGTTGTAGGTTTGACATTCCTGACTTGGTATCATCCAGTCAGGACTTTAAAGAGAGTATTATAATTCCAGTAAGAGAAATGCTGGTAATGCTAATTTTTGAGTTTGTGAAATTATACCTCTGGCATTAGAGGAAAGTGGCAGCTTGGGAAGATTTTTTTCCTCTATAATTCTTTCCAGTTGGTTCTGTCTTCTGGGCAATAATCTTTTTGAATGAAAGTGGAACAACCCTATGTTACTGTCAAACTTATGTGGTGACAATTTTTTTGTTTGTTTTTGGTGGTTTTTTTGTGGGTTTATTTATTAATGATTTTTTTTCCCCTGATTTTTTAATATGTTGTTCAAACTTAATTTTCACCACTGGTGTTTGCAATTGACAGGCCTTGTCAAAACTGATTTCCCATACAACTGGAGATTGTCATTATTCTTGACTTGGAGTTCCAGGTTGTCCAGAGCTGTGGTTGTGCTTATTAACAGTAAGATACAAAAGTATAAAACCAAGCAATGGTACATCAGTAGTGTGACTGCTGATGCTGATTGATATCTGGCATTTACAGAAGCCTTTAATATTTTTTTAAATATTAAAATTTATCCTAGAAACTTATGTGACTTTTTGTTAAAATTCTCATGTGGGAAGCTGTGTAAGGAAGAAGTCTTTAAAAAAAAGCTTATTAGAAACAAAGATGACTACTTCCCCTGTTGTAAAGATATAGCTCAGTTCACGGTTTGGTATACAATGTTCCTGTGTATTATCTGAAACATCAGATGGCAGAGAAGAATGAAGCTCACTAAGCTATTCATGTGTTTTGGTTGGATCTCTGGTTTATACAGAAGAGGTACTGACTCAGTCAAGCTGGAGCTATGTCTATGGGAGTGATGGTTTAGTCTTTTCTTGTAACCTGGGAATTTCTAACCCTCCACATAGAGAAAACATGAATCTGTTCCATTGCTAAGCTGCTGAACATCCGTGTCTACTGAATTCATGGCAAAACACTTCTGAAATGCTTTGTTTTGTTCTGTAACCAGAAGTGGAAAAGTGCATTGAGTCATATACATGAACATTTTAAAGTGCCCTAAGTTCTGTAAATTTTAAGTATTGTTGGTATTGGTAAGCTCTGTATTAGAGTTTTGGAATGTCATTAAGAATTACTTTTTCCAGTGGACAGTCAAGCTGATTCTCACTTCTCAAGTAAGACTGTTCATTTTTCCTTTCATTGAACTTTCTTGTAGACATGAGGGAAGTCATTCTTCACTTTTCATTAGTGAGTGCCGGAAGTACAGCACTGTTTAAAATGGCTTGTGCTGGTTGGGAATGGATAAATAGTGTGTTTCTGAGCAGAGAGAGTTGAGAATTTTATAGGCTGCTAGGAAAGGAATTAAATTATTAACTTTGCAAAGCAATGGACTGACTTTAGAATAGTTGCCATAATATGAAGTGATAGCTTTCTTGATTGAGAAGTAGTTAATATAAAAATATGTGCAGAGGATTAATTTGTTAGATGGCAAGGATATATGGTTTTGGAATAGCTTTCAGTCTTTCAGTATCACTCTAAAAAAGGACAGAGTTTATACCTGTTAATATAACAGTACTTACTGTATGGAGGGTACTGCAAAGGTACTGGAAACC